ACCCAGGTAACAGGCGGGAGAACCTGAACTCACCCCGGACAAGGTACCAGAGCCCTCGCCCCGCCCTGCCCACTGCGGCCCAGGCTGTCTAACAGGGCAGCCTGACCCACGCCCTTGTCCCCTGGGCCTCCTCCTCCTCCTTGGAGGAGCCCGGTGAGCGTGAGCCTTGGTTCTCACTGGTCGTGACCCTGCCGTGGTCTGGAAGTCTTTTTCCTCGAGAACAAATACAGATCTTAGGGAACCAAGTGTTTCACAGCCCGGTGCGCTGACATCTGGCAGCTCAGCTGAGTGTTGTGTTTCTATCAGTTTGCATCTGATGAATCGCCCAGGCACAGGTGGGCTGTGACTCTGCCCCCACCCCTGCCCCTGGGGAAAGCACAGGGCACCCCCACCCCCCCAGCACCTGGTCTGCCCTTCACTTTCCAGGTTGTTCTGCCTCATTCAGGGTGGGCCAGGTCTCCAGCATCGGCCGAGACTGCAGCGCCCCTGCTTGGGGGAGGAGAGTATTTTCTGCTCCGCTGATGCCATGTGACTTGTTTGGGCCCAAAGAATACAAGTGCAAGACCAGACATCAGACCCCAAGTGTTCGGAGCATGTGTGGTGGTAGCTGTTTTAAGAAATGGGTGTTTTTCAGCCATGACCGTGATGGGCATCATTTCTGTTCCTCACCCCCCCGCTCCCCACCAGTGAAGGGAACCAACACCAGCACCCGCGGGCTGCTCTCGCCTCCTGCGACCTGGAGTCTGCTCCCCACCACAGCTGGCCAGCTTTGACAGCCTGTCCCCAAGCCCAGCTGCTGCCTCGGCTGCCCTCCTCCCTCCCTTTCGCCTGCATTCACGCCGCATGGGGCTCTGTTTAGGATCTTGTTAGGTGGACAGCACTGAACAAGTCGATGACCCAGGACCTGTCCAGGTTTGGGGGGCGTGAGGTATCTCGCCGAGGAAGAAAGAGAAACAGAGCCGCAAAGGCGGGCAAAAGTTTTATTGAAGTGTCCCGGCGAGGTTCACTGGTTCACGTGGCGGGGGCCAGGGAAGTCGCGCTGCTACTTTCGCTTGGGGAAGATTTATAGGGATGTTAGGGACCTGGGTGGGGTGATCAGGTGTGGCGTCAGGTGACTGGCTGGCTGCTGGGAGATTCGAACGTGGCGCATGTTGATTGGCTGGGCAGGGTGGTGGGACGTGACCAGGAGTGTCGCCTCAGCCACATTCGGGTAAGGAGGAGCCTCCATAGTTAGGTTGCGATTTCTCCTCTGGCCGGCCATTTCCAGGTCATGTGACTTCCCAGTCATGTGACTCCCTGCAGCTGGCAGGCCTTACAGGGGGATGAAGGCAAACAACTTGGAGGGCCCTGTCCGAGAACGGACTGCAAAGTCGTGAATGCAAAAGGTGGTACAGGGCCTGCGGAGCCCTCACCAGCTTCACGGTCAATGCGCCTCCTGGGGCAGGGGGGAGCAGTCGGCATGAGATTCGGGGTGATGAAGAGTGCTGTCGGAAGCTCGCTGCCACCAGTCTGGCACGAACAAGTCTCCAATCTGGAGTGAGGAAGGAGGAGACACTTCACTGGGTGAACAGTTTGGGAACAAGGAAATCGCAGCCTCTGGTGCAAACCAAAAGTGTCCTTAGTGGAGACGATGGGGAGGTGTCTTTTTACAAATTTCCCTTTCTTGTTCCTGCTGGGTCCATTTCCATGCAAATGAGGAATCCAAATTTGCACAGTCTGATTGGTCAAAATAGCACTGTCCCGATTGGTTGGCTTCACACATTCTCAATAGTCATTGTGGAGTCACTCTGATTGGTCCGTATAGTTGCACAGGCTGGTTTCAGGGAAAAATATTCTCTGACCTCCTCACCCAGTCCCCACACCCAGTTCTAACTTTGTTTACTTCTCTCTACTATGAAACCTATTTTTGGGTAATCTCTCGAGAAGCCTGCATCATAAGGTCAGGGTTCTCCTGTTGCAAGTGTCCCCTTCCCCAGTAGTAACCCTTTGGAATAACGTCTCTCCTGCCGAAGTTGGGATCTGTTTTCATTTGGCAGTGGGCAGGAGAGGCCTCCTGGAGGGACCGTATTTACACACGTGGACTGTGATGAGGGAGAACTAGAATTATGGTGGTAGCTTTGTTTTAAGAAATGGATCTTTTTCAGCCTAAAAGAAAAGAGAAATGAGGACAGAATCGCAGAGCGTGGCTAGTTCAGAGGAAGGAAGACATTCAAGGAGGCAGAAAGGAACAAAGTAGTTGGGTAAACGGGGAGGTGAAAACCACACAAGATCACGGGGCAGCGGGTTCATGCACATAGTCCATGGCTGTTATTTTATTGAGTACCTACTGTTTGCCTTCCACTTTGCCAGGCGTGGGGACTCAGAGGTGAGCCAAGCATTCCTGGGTCTGGTTTTGACATCTAGAGGGAATGCCATGTTTACAAAATAATGTTGGTATAAGAAACGTCTAACCTGTAGAGAATTTTTATAAGAATTTGAGCCCAAACTGACGAACTTTGCAGGGAAGCAAGATCTCGAGTGCTCCTGGGAATGAGTTCTGCAATTTCTTTTCTGCATTTGGGATGAAGGAGGGGACGGAAGGAGGATTCCGCGGAGGTGGGAGGAAGAGGGTGGGGTTTGGACTACAGGAGAGTTAAGTGTGTGCTCCCTTAAGGGCCCTGGGAAAGAGGGTCACTTTTGGCATTTTAAACAGGAACAATGGACAGGGCTGGCTTACACCTTTTACTAAAGTAGGTTAGTAAAGGTTAGGTAGGCCTGGGGTGTGTCATCCACCATGACCTGCCCAGTTAAGAATTTATGACCAGATCACCCTGTGAGGTTTCTTTTGATTAGATTTATGACAGAACCCCCTTTCACCCACAATAATCACATCTTTTATTTAGAACAGTGGTGTATACTATGGGGCTCCATCCAGGAGTGCATATTCCCTGAGCATCTGATAGACAGCCTTGGGTGGCAGGGCCCTGACGCCGTATGTTTTTACAACAGTAGATAAGAATGGGCATTAACTAGGTTGGGGGAGTGTGGTCAGAGGATGGCATCTCCGCAGAGAGATAGCTGAGGTGTAGGGATGGGGGTTTGGTGGATGAACAATTTGTAACCTTGTGATGTGCATTCTCATGATCTGGCCAGCGGAGGATCAAAGTGTGTGTGGAGACCGGTTTGACTGGAGGGCAGGAAGACCGCCCTGTTTGGTACTGAATGCTTTGTTTGCATGTAAGTAGTTAGGGTTTACATAACAAAGAGCTGGAAGACCACCCTGAGAGGATGATGGGCCGTGCCTAGGTAGGTGTGGATGGATTTGTTATTTTTTATCTTTCGTGTCTTGTAAAAAGCGAGACAAGGCTGGGCTGTGTGGTTTGCAGATACACCATCTCAAGGAAATCATTTACCTAGATCCACATGTGCCTTGGGGAACCCATCTGCAAATTAACTGGGCGGCATCCAGAGATCTGGAGCATTTGCTCCCTTGCAGTGCTCCCCCTCATTCCTACCAGCCTGTGCTTGTAGTTCATTGTGTTGTGCCGACCCCCCGACAGGCCGAGAGAGGGCACCGAGGAACTGATGGGGGCAGCTTTTGTGGGGTCGAGCCCTGGGATGCGTGTGTGCTTCCTGCCCTGCAAGGCAGAGCAAGGACAGCCCAGAACATGCTGAAATTTCATCCAAAGAGGGATGACAAGACCCTGAACATTCTTCAGGGGAGTGACCTGATCAGCTCACCTTGTATTGTAGAGGCGCCCTAGGCCCGCAGCGTGGAGAGGGAGGGCTGCCAGGCCGGCAGTTATTGGGAGGTCACAGGCCATCGCTGAGGGTGCCCTTTCTGAGGACCTGGAGGGAGAGGTGTGGAGGGTCAAGTCCTGAGCAGCAAAGAGGTGGGTTCTATCTTTAGGAGTCTCCCTCCTTCCTCCCTCCTTCCCTCCACCCAGCTTTGGTGGGTCTTAGGCTCAAGGACATTTGTTGCTGGCTGGTGGCAGGTGTGTGGTCACAGGCTTGCATTTCCATGCGACTGTCCCCAGAGAAGGCTGATGGCCTGGGGGAGGGTGCTGTGGGAAGCAGCCTCACCCCTGCTGCCAGGAGGCCCTCCCCAGTGTCCCCGAAGCACACACGGCGGGGACCACGCGACGGGGGCAGAGGGAGCAGAATTAGGTGGGGTCAGTTCGCATGGAACCGAGCAGACTGGACTGTTGTAACCCAGGAGAGTCATCCTCACTCAGACATCAAGTAATTTTGAATATTAGGAGCTTTATTACCTGCGCAGGGACTGCAGCCAACCTACAGAGGAGAACTGCAGCCCCGAGCTCAGGGGGAGGGCTGCTCAAGAGTTTAGCAGAGCAAGCAAGCTACGTGTACAGAAGCGGATATCAGCAGTTAGTAGCTGCACACGTTTATTTTATATTTCTTAACATTTACTAGACCCCAGCCTTGAATGGCTCATTGTCCCGTCTGGCATCTCCTGATTAGTTAAGCTCATGGTCATGGCTGATGCATACCTTCCTCTTTAAGAATTTTTGCAAAAACAACTCGGGTTCAAGGAACCCAGGAGAGGTTCCTTCTTCTAGCGGATGGAGAATTACTGGGTTATAACAGGACCCCATGGGAGTCCCAGGGCGCTGCTCTAACGGGCCCTGCTGCAGGGAGCGGCCCCTGGCCGGCCGCGCTCCGTTGGGGAACAGGCCGTCCTAAGGGGCAGCCGGCGGCCGGGCGCTGCGCAGGGAGGCAGGGCCGGGAACCATGGTGTCAGGGAAGGTGGCCCTGAAACAGACCTCGCGGTCCGGAAGGCTGGCGGCCGGGCCAGGCCAGGCCAGGCCGGAAGCAAAGCCTCCTCCGGGGGACCCGGGAGGGGAAGCGGGCTGGGGGCGTGTCCGCGGCCGGGTCGCGGCCTCCGGGCGCCGTGGGGGTGTCTGCCTGCGGGGCACCCCGCCCCCGGCTCCGGGGCGTGTCCGCCGGTGGAGGCGGCTCCCGGGCGTGCCCGGGCCGGGGGCGGAAACGCTCGGGCCTGGTGCTGCGCTGCTGGGGCGCCGGGGAAGACGCGGGCGCGGGCTTGCGGTCCACTCGGGACGGCGGGCTCGGGGAATCTGGTCGGCGGGAACCCGCTCTGGAAGCCGAGCCTTCGGGACCCCGCCGGGCGGCTCCCGCGGGGCTGGGCGCGATGAAGCCTGCGGCCGCCGGCTGCGCACTGCTGGGCGGCCTCTGCCTGGCCCTCTGCCTGGGCGGCGCGCGCGGGCTCCCCCGGAGGTAGGTGCGCACCTGGGCGCGCGGGTTCCCGGGGCGGCGGGCCTGCTGCAGGTCCCAGCGTCCGCGGGGCGCCGGCCGGGTAGGCGCGGGTGTCCGTGCCCCGACATTCTCCCGGAGTGGTGGGCACCGCGTTAGTTGAGATCCAGGACACGGCGCTGAAATGGTGAGAGTCCCCCCTCGCTCTGCTGTCCCGCTGCGGGCAGAGGGCCGCAGGCCGGGTTGTAGAGGGTCCTCCTTGGACTCCAGGAAGCCAGAATTTGAGGGCCCGATTTGAACTCTTTCCTTGTTTTATATGGGTGATGGTCCCACGAATAGGACTTCATACTTATACCGTGGGTGCGGGGAAAGGTGAATTTTAGCTTTTCAATGAAAGTTTTAATTAAACCATTGCTGTTTAGCCATATACTTTAAGTAACATTTCCGTTTCCCCAGAAAGCCTATTTTCTGAAGAGCTAGGGCGTCCGTTTTTGCTTCGGGTTACGCGGGTCGCTGGAGAGGTAGCGTGTGCCACCCTGGCTCAGGGCGACCTGGGGGCTCCGTGCGGGCGGTTGGCTCCCCTGCCCAGTAGAAACACGGTGTGAGTGAGGGGAGGTCAGTTACAGAACCCGCAGCGGGGAACCCTGTCTGGCCAGTGCCAGCTGCAGGCCTAGGCCCCAACCAGCACCTGCTTGAACTGGACCGCCGCCCGGACCAGGCGTGGTTGGGACACACATGATCCACACCGTCAGGGCCGCACAGGTCAGCGCGCGTGTTCCCAAGTCCCTGTGGGGCTGAGAACTCAGCCACTGGCCTCCCGCTGCGGTCACGTCAGCTGCTCCGTTGCTTTGGGAGGAAGCCTCTGTCCACACACGTCCTCTGCCTGGGTGTACGTGGAGACTGAGTTACAGACCTTCCGAGTCTTCATAGTTTTGTTTTGTTTTTTAAATGTTTTTATGGGTTTTTTAGAGAGAGAAAGAGGAAGGGAGAGAGAGAAACATTGATGGGCTGCCTCTTGCACGCCCCCTACGGGGATCGAGCCCGCAGCCCAGGCATGTGCCCTGGCGAGGAATGGAACTGGGACCTCTCAGTGCATGGGACACGCTCAGTCCACCGAGCCACATGGGCGAGGCTGAGCCTTCACAGTTTTGCTGTAAACTGCAAACGGATGGTCTGGTCTCCTGGCCGCTCCCTCGCCTGCAGCCTCCGTTTCCACCTGTGTGAAGGGAGGTTTTTGCATCCAGCCGAGAAGAAGCTTCTAACACTTTCCCAGCTTGAATTCTCACGCAGCGGTTTGTCTGTTGTTGTTTTTTTTTCTTTTTCTTTTATGCCGAGCTCTTGTCTCATTGTCTCAGACCTCAATCCAAGGTTTCACGATGTGACTTCTGCGGTGACCCTGCAAGTCCTTCCGAAAGCGAGCACAAGGGGCGGGGCTCTGTTCCCCTGTGATCCGCTGCCGGGGGATGGCGCCTGTGCCAGCCTCTGTCTGTGGCCGGAGGACCTCCCCCCATGGCCCCTCTGTCTGTCTGTCTGTCTGCTGAGCCTGGCAGATGGGGTGGGAGCGTCCTGCCGAGAGCCCCCCCCCCAGCCACAGCTCCAGTCCCTTATGGGGAAGTCTTAGTGCCTAGCTGGCACCCTCTGCTCAAACGTCACCCACTCGGCAGGGAACAAGTGAGGCTTGTCTCTGAGTGGGGTGGGGTCAGAGGCACCCCAGGCTACTTCAGGTCCTTTTGATGCCAAATGAACCAAACAGTGGAGTTTTCAGGGCCTGTGGGTTTCCCCAGTGGGATGAGGAGGTAATGGGTCTGTTTCTAACCCGTGAGCATCCTTCAGACAAAGGCGCTTTGTGGCTGTTCCCTCAGACCGCGTCTCCCTTCCCTTCAGGCGTCCTGGCTTCCTGACCGAACTTCAGCCCCCTCCCTGCCCCGCCACGCCGTCCGCTTCCTTAGTTATATAGTCTTCACCACCTTTCACGACAGGGCCCGGGAGTTGCTGGGTCATTGTCTCCCTCGCGGGCATGGTTGCTTCAGGGGGTGGGGACTCACCCCTGCTCAGGGCAGTGGCCTCGTCCCACAGTGGTGCCAGGCCTGTAGCAGGCACCCTGTGCCCCTTGAATGAATGAGGTTAAGAGTGGCTGGGTGGCTGGAGGGACTGACTCTCCCGTGACTCTGAAAGTTCTTGAGAAACGAGTTCTTGCCTTTCAGCAGCGGCGACAGTGAGTGGAGGAAACTGATCATGGTCCACCACTGGCCTGCGACTGTGTGCAAGGTGAGTGTTTCTGCCCCATGGCCCCTCTGGTCCAGGGGTGCCCCCGGAAGACAGAGGCGCTTCCCCCAGGAGGGCCTGTGACGGGTCCCGAGGGGCCGGGACGCAGCACCGTGGCCTGGGTGGCTCAGCGTCAGAAATCTCTTCTCTCTGTTTTGGAGGCTGGAAGTCTGAGCTAAGACGTCGGAGGGTTGGTCCCTTCTGGAAGCTTCTGGTGTTGCCAGCAGTCCCTGGTGCACTCATCTGGGCTCTGTGTTCACGTGGCGGGCTCTGGGTGTGTCTCTGTTGCTTGTAGGAGCCCTGGAGACTGGGTGTAGGACCCACCCCAATCCGTCTGACCTCCCCTGAGCTTGATGACCCCTGCAAAGGCCACACTCAGATCCTGGGGTCAGGGCTTGCGCGTGTGTGCCTGCCCAGGACAGGAGCCAGCTCCCACGGCCGGCGCCAGCTTGTCTCCTCCCTCCATCGTTGCCCGTCTCGTTAAAGTGTCGCCCAGGGGACGCGGCGTTCCCTCCGCTCAGCACCGACGCTGCCCCTAGTCCCCTGCGGGCTGGTCTTTCTGTCTGTGCCTTGTCTCGTACTGAGTCTTTTTAGAGTGTCACAGAGGAGAGGGCCTGCCTCATGGGCAGATGGGGCCCTGTCGCAGGGGAGGGGCCCTGTCCCCACTCATGCTTCTGTGGGTGGTTTGTGAAACGTGTTAATTGTCCAGACCTGAAGTGTTTCGTCATATTGCTGAGCTACCTCTAATTTTATTGATAGTGTTTCTGAAATTTTCACTAAGAGTCTGAGTCCATCGACGCCTTTTTGTTGACTCACCCAGAGCCCGGAGCGGCGTAGTTGGTCATCCCGTGTGACAGAGCCCGGCCCGGTGTCCCTCCCCCTCGGTAACCATGGCATCCTCTCCACTTCCTCACTGGTTCTCTGTTGACAAATGAAATGAAATATCACTGTCAGTCTCACCAAATTGCATTCCTTTCTCCCCTTCTCGTCGGATGTATTGTTACTTGAGGGCTGCTGCTTGTTTGAGCCCCAGGTAGAATGTGGGGCCGCCTTTCCAGGGTCAGAGAAGCTGGAACAGGGGTGCGGGCACTGCCCTGGCACAGGGGCCTTCCGCGGGGTGCAGGCGCCTGAGCTGTTGGGTGCAAATCCTGGTACGTAAGTGCCACACAGTGTCTGCTGCTTCTGTTGCATCCATCCTCTGACTCCAGTTCACACACACAGACACACAGAAGTGAGCAGGGTTCACACACACACAGAAGTGAGCAGGGTTCACACACACACAGAGGTGAGCAGGGTTCACACACACTCACACAGAGGTGAGCAGGGTTCACACACACTCACACAGAGGTGAGCAGGGTTCACACACACAGAGAAGTGAGCAGGGTTCACACACACTAACACAGAGGTGAGCAGGGTTCACATACACACAGAATTGAGCAGGGTTCACACACACTCACACACAGAAGTGAGCAGGGCTCACACACACTCACACAGAAGTGGGCAGGGCTCACACACTCACACACACACAGCAGTGGGCAGGGTTCACACACACACACAGAAGTGGGCAGGGCTCACACACACACACACACACAGAATTGAGCAGGGTTCACACACACACACACAGAGGTGAGCAGGGTTCACACACACACAGAATTGAGCAGGGTTCACACACACTCACAGAGGTGAGCAGGGTTCACACACACTCACAGAAGTGAGCAGGGTTCACACACACACACACAAGTGGGCAGGGCTCATACACTCACACACAGAAGTGAGCAGGGTTCACACACACACACAGAAGTGAGCAGGGCTAACACACACACACACACAGAAGTGGGCAGGGTTCACACATACACACAGAAGTGGGCAGGGCTCACACACTCACACAGAAGTGGGCAGGGCTCACACACTCACACACACACAGAAGTGGGCAGGGCTCACACACTCACACAGAAGTGAGCAGGGTTCACACACACACACAGAAGTGAGCAGGGCTAACACACACACACACACAGAAGTGGGCAGGGTTCACACATACACACAGAAGTGGGCAGGGCTCACACACTCACACAGAAGTGGGCAGGGCTCACACACTCACACACACACAGAAGTGGGCAGGGCTCACACACTCACACAGAAGTGAGCAGGGTTCACACACACACACAGAAGTGAGCAGGGCTAACACACACACACACACAGAAGTGGGCAGGGTTCACACATACACACAGAAGTGGGCAGGGCTCACACACTCACACACAGAAGTGGGCAGGGCTCACACTCACACACAGAAGTGGGCAGGGCTCACACACTCACAGAAGTGGGCAGGGCTCACACTCACACACAGAAGTGGGCAGGGCTCACACACTCACAGAAGTGGGCAGGGCTCACACACACACACAGAAGTGAGCAGGGTTCACACACACACACAGAAGTGAGCAGGGCTAACACACACACACACACAGAAGTGGGCAGGGTTCACACATACACACAGAAGTGGGCAGGGCTCACACACTCACACACAGAAGTGGGCAGGGCTCACACACACTCACAGAAGTGGGCAGGGCTCACACTCACACACAGAAGTGGGCAGGGCTCACACACTCACAGAAGTGGGCAGGGCTCACACACTCACACACAGAAGTGGGCAGGGCTCACACACACTCACAGAAGTGGGCAGGGCTCACACTCACACACAGAAGTGGGCAGGGCTCACACACACACACAGAAGTGGGCAGGGCTCACACACTCACAGAAGTGGGCAGGGCTCACACACTCACACACAGAAGTGGGCAGGGCTCACACACACTCACAGAAGTGGGCAGGGCTCACACTCACACACAGAAGTGGGCAGGGCTCACACACACAGAAGTGGGCAGGGCTCACACACTCACAGAAGTGGGCAGGGCTCACACACTCACACACAGAAGTGGGCAGGGCTCACACACACTCACAGAAGTGGGCAGGGCTCACACACACACACAGAAGTGGGCAGGGCTCACACACTCACAGAAGTGGGCAGGGCTCACACACTCACACACAGAAGTGGACAGGGCTCACACACACTCACAGAAGTGGGCAGGGCTCACACTCACACACAGAAGTGGGCAGGGCTCACACACTCACACAGAAGTGGGCAGGGCTCACACACTCACACACACACAGAAGTGGGCAGGGCTCACACACACACACACAGAAGTGAGCGGGGTTCTTTCTCTTAGGCCCTGCACAGCTCATTAGGACAACAGGGACATCTTCATGAAAGTTGTATCCAGATTGTATTCTTGACCCAGAAGCGTTTCTGACAGTGGGCGGACGCCTGCGAGTCTGCTGTGTGTTTTCACTTTGAGGTGTGTCCTTCCCGGGTGGTGGCTGCCTCTGGGGAAGAGGCGGGTCAGGGGTGCAGCTCCCTGTGGCCTGGCCCAGTTCTGTTGGCAATGGGCCTTGTGGCCCTGTGTGTGGAGAGCTGTGCCCTCAGGTGAGGACAAGGCCCCTGGTGGGGGAGGCATTTAAGTGACAAGTGTGGGTGTGTTCAGGTGTGTTGATGTAACTTTCGGGAAGAGCCTCCCTGCCTGCAAGCTTAGAAATGAGGTTTTAATGGAGTCGGAACTAGCAAAATGTCCTCAGGGACTCCATTTCAATCATTGTTAGTGGGGTGCACAGCAGGGGTTCTGTGACTCCCGGGCGAGGCTGAGTGTCATCCTGGGCCCCTTCCCCTTGAGCGACGGACCTCAGGTGCTGGGACATGTGTGTCCTCGCTCAGCACAGCCCTGGGGCACCTGCTGGGGTATTTGCTGACTGTGACAGCCCTGCCCGGTGGCCGTCCCGGTCACCCTGGGTGTCAGCCTTTTGCTCTCAACCCTTTATTGAGGGTTTGACAGGAAAACTATTCACAGGCAAATAGGGGGCCCCTCAGGCGGACCTAATTCATGAGCACATGGAAAAGGGGAAAACGGGATTGGAGTCTGTCCTTAGGTTGAGGACGGTCCCCTCCGCAAATCCCACTTCATGAGTGTCGCTGGGTGAACTGACCACGAATTAGCACGGAGTTTGTTTCTTTATCTTTTTTTTTTTTTTACTTCTCACTCGAGGATATATATTTTTCTCCAATTATCTTCAGATAGAGTGGGAAGGGGAGAGAGAGAGACATCGACTGGCTGCCTCCGCAGAACCCCGACCAGGGCCCGGGACCAAACCGCAACCGAGGACCGTGCCCTTGACCAGAATCAAACCTGCGACGCTGGTCCGCGGGCTGCCGCTCTAGCCGCTGAGCCAGACCGGCCAGGGTGCGGAATTCATTTCGTGTTAGCCTGTCATTGATGGGCGTCAAAAGAGAGCAAGGAGAGGAAGGTTGCTGAGTGTGTTTACGCGTTGGACCCAATCACTTCTTTGTCTTTTTTCCTAGGAAGTGGAAGATGATTGCAAGGACCCTCCGGACTACTGGACGATCCATGGCCTGTGGCAAGTGCTCCCTGTGGTGAAAGCCAGGCCGCCGCCCGGGCAGCTGGCTCCCTCGGGACCAGCTCGAGTCGGTCCTAACAGTTACACTTGAGTCGGGGTCACTCTCACAGACCCTGCGGTTTGTGCAGCAGACCAGCCCCTCATTTACAAGGACCTGTAGTGTTTCTAACGTAGCCTGATTCTGCACTGTTAGTTCTGTTTTGATAGAAAGTAACAGTTTAGTCTAAATGTCCGTTTAAGGATTCTGGGTATATTTTAGGATCACTAAATTTTAATTTTTTCATTTATTTATTATTATTATTTTTTTATCCTCACCCGAGGACATTTTTCCATTTTTTGTTCAGGTAGAGTTGGGGGGAGAGAGAGGAACAGAGAGAGAGAGAGAAACATCGATGTGAAAGGGACACATCGAGCGGCTGCCACCCGCACAACTGACCAGGGCCGGGGACAAACTGCAACCGAGGTACGCGCCCTTAGCGGGAACCGAACCCGGGCCTCTCAGGACCGCAGGCCGACGCTCTAACCGCTGAGCCAAACCGGCCAGGGCTAATTTTTTCATTTATAATAAGTAAGTGTATAAATATATATATATCATCTATGTCATAGATCCTTCACAGATACCTAGATTTATTTTTCTGGTTTTGGCTGAATTTTGTTTTGTTTATTCTTTTGCTACTTATGCACATATTTGTGGTGCTAAATTGTGCACATTAATTTGCCCGTCAGCTGATCGATCCATCTTGTCCCGCTGCTGGATGAGAGGCCGGCCCTTCTGATTTTAACTGGCGCCCGTGTCCCTCGGGAACTGGTCAGCAGGCAGCAGATTACACTGGGGTCTGCGGAGCTGGCCTCCAGTCCACCTTTCCCAGGCTCATCGGGGGCCTAGATGCTTCAGTGTGTGGGACCTGGCTTTGTGGGGTCTTCTGACTCCTCTCCGCCTCCCCTGTGCGCGGGGAGACAGCGCGGTGGGGCTCCGTCCCTGCAGGGGACTTCAGGTCAGGGACAGCTGTCGAGGCTTCAAACCCTGCAGGGGTCTAGAGGGGAGATCTGGGGGCCTCGTGGCCTTAGCTGCCTCTTGGACGGAGAGCTGACAAGAGAGGACCATGTCACAGGCAGACAGGGAGGGCAACGGACTCGGTGTGACGATCATCGCAGCCAACCTGACCACATCCCCAGGCAGGAGCCCCTCGTGCACGTTGTCTCCCTAACCCTCACCTGCACGTAAAGGGTAGAAGCCCCCGGCCCTCAGTCCTCACACTGTGCTTTGCAGAGGGCAGATCCCTGGGGCCCTGCTGGGCACCCTGCGCCCCTGACTCAGAGCGCCCCCTGCTGGCGTCTGTGAGGCTGCCTCTGCTGCGTGCCTGAGGCCCAACCTTCTCTCGCAGTCCCAGCCTTTCCTCTGAATATCCCCTGGGCCTGCTGGGCGGTACCTGACCTCCGTCCTGTCCCCCGGCCGGGGCGGCGTCCCACGCAGAACCTCTCCGTCCTGTCCCCCGGCCGGGGCGGCGTCCCACGCAGAACCTCTCCGGTCCTGTCCCCCGGCCGTGGCGGCGTCCCACACAGAACCTCTCCGGTCCTGTCCCCCGGCCGTGGCGGCGTCCCACGCAGAACCTCTCCTTCCTGTCCCCCGGCCGTGGCGGCGTCCCACGCAAGACCTCTCGTCCTGTCACCCGCCGTGGCGGCGTTCCCACGCAGAACCTCTCCGTCCTGTCCCCCGGCCGGGGCGGCGTCCCACGCAGAACCTCTCCGTCCTGTCCCCCGGCCGTGGCGGCGTCCCACGCAGAACCTCTCCGTCCTGTCCCCGGCCGTGGCGGCGTCCCACGCAGAACCTCTCCGTCCTGTCCCCCGGCCGGGGCAGCGTCCCACGCAGAACCTCTCCGTCTGTCCCCCGGCCGGGGCGGCGTCCCACGCAGAACCTCTCCGTCCTGTCCCCCGGCCGTGGGCGGCGTCTCCCACGCAGAAACCTCTCCGTCCTGTCCCCCGGCCGGGGCAGCGTCCCACGCAGAACCTCTCCGTCCTGTCCCCCGGCCGGGGCGGCGTCCCCACGCAGAACCTTCCCGTCCTGTCCCACGGCCGGGGCGGCGTCCCACGCAGAACCCTCTCCGTCCTGTCCCCCGGCAGGGGCGGCGGTCCCACGCAGAACCTCTCGTCCTGTCCCCGGCCGGGGCGGCGTCCCACGCAGAACCTCTCCGTCCTGTCCCCCGGCCGTGGCGGCGTCCCACGCAGAACCTCTCCGTCCTGTCCCCCGGCCGTGGCGGCGTCCCACGCAGAACCTCTCCGTCCTGTCCCCCGGCCGGGGCGGCGTCCCACGCAGAACCTCTCCGTCCTGTCCCCCGGCCGGGGCGGCGTCCTACGCACAGTCCCTTTGTCCTCTGCGGGCCTCGTGTGCTCTGGGCTCCATCCCAACCAGGACTAACCTCTGTCTCTCTCATTTCCAGGGCTGACAGAGCTGAACAGTGTAACCGCTCATGGCCCTTTCACTTAGAAGAGATTAAGGTATTAACTTCTAATTATGTCACCGCTGCAGGCCTGGGTTGTGTCTTCTCTTCATAAGTACGCCCTCGGGTCATGTTTTAGAGTGAGGCGTCCTTAAGGCTGTCACCAGGATCAATCAACCCCTTGGCACCTTGCATCCATGAGCATCTAAAGCAATCCCACAAATTCAGTAACCACTAACCCCTCCTCCGCCCAAACCCCTGGGAGCCAGCCTGGAAGGTGGAATCGGGTGGGACAGCCGGGCGCTGACCTGCCAGCCCTGCCCCGCGCCCCGCGCCCCGGCAGCTTGGCGGGTGGTGAGCGCATGGAGCCGGCTGTGGCTTGCAGAACGGGCACCGGTACGCTGGCTGCCCTCTCTGGCCTGGTGCACAGGGAGAAGCGACTGGTTTTTCCCGAACCAGAGCTTCTATTACAGAATAATTGTGGGCCGGATTTACGAGAGCGGTTAGCTGGCGTGCTCCATGGAGACACCGCCTCCTCACATATTCACACACACGCACGGATGCTCAGGTGCCCGGTACCTGGGTTGACAGGTCATTGGGCCTCCCTGACCATGTGGGGCAGAGTCGGGCTTTGCTCGAATTATGGGTCCTTCCCAGGAAGGAGCGGGCCCCCAGAAGGCCAAGGTAATGAGTTCTAAGCCTGTCACAGGCTCTAGTCCAAAGGGGATTATTTTCTCCTTCCTCCTTCCTGCGAGGACCCTTGATGGCGTGGGCCAGGAGGCTGGAGAGGCTGGGCCAGCTGCAGGCGTCATGAGTGTCCCCCAAAGCCTGGTGACGTCTCCCTCCCCAGATGTCCTTTCCTCTTCCTGGGCTCACCTCAGCTCCCCGATACCTGAGGGATGTTCCTGGTTCGACCTTGTGACCTTGAAGTGCAATTGGAGATGCATTTATTTGGTGACAGTGTACTGAGTGCCTGCTGCCTGCCTGGTTCTGTGCTAGGGGCTGGAGACATGGGGAGCACAGGCAGACGGTCTCTGGCCCAAGTTGCTTCAGTCGGGGAGACAGGTGCTGAAGTCACCTCACCCACACAGGAGCACGAACCGGGAGCCAGAGAAAAGCGGCCAGAGCTCAGGACCGTGGACCCGAGCGAGGCTCCTCTGAGGAGGTGACATTCGAGCTGGGATCCGACTGAACTAGGTGAAGGACGGGGAAGGCTGAGGAGCAGGCAGCACGTGCAAAGGCCCCGGGGTAGAAAGGGGAAGGCATTTGCGGAGCTGGGAGGAAGCCGGTGTGGCTGAGGAGGGCTGGGAGCCTGGGCAGTGTTCCGGGCCAGAGCACCTGGAGCCTCGGGTGCTGGTTCAGAACCGTTTCTCTGGCCTAAGACCCAGTGGGAAGTCACTGGGAGCATCACAGCCCAAGTCAGAGATAACCCGATGTGTCTGTCTTTTTTTTTATCCTCACCCGAGGACATTTTTGCATTTATCTTCAGGTAGAGCAGGAGGGGGGGAGAGAGAAAGAGAAACATCGATGCGAGAGAGACACATCGACTGGCTGCCACCCACACGATCCCAACCGGGGCCGGGGACACACTGCAACCGAGGTACGTGCCCTTAGCGGGAACCGAACCCGGGTTTCTCTGGTCCGCAGGCCGACACTCTAACCACTGAGCCAAACTGGCCGTAGCCATATGTCTCTCTAATGTTGCTCCAGCTGTGTTCGTGGTGAGATTCAGACACTGTTGGTTTACTTGTCCTGTAGCAGAGTGTCTAATTCAGCACTTGTCCCAGAAGAGTGGTCTAGTTGGGGTAATGAATCGTCTGGTTCCTCTGCACCACCCCCGAGCGGGGGCTGAAGCCACACTGTGAGGTGGAGGCAGGTGGCGGTGGGGACGGCGCGGGGACTGCTCCTGAGGGGTTGGGCTACAGGAGAAAGATGGGCACTGTGAGGGCGGGGTGGGTGGGGCTCAGATGGCATGGTCACTGATGGGTTGGGAAGGGCCCCAGGCCCCTAGGCCAGCAGTGGTGGCAGAGAGGAGAACATGAGGGCGTGTCTGTTTATACACCTTCTTAAATCGAACCTTCTATTGGTCTAGTGAGTGGTGGAAACTGGAGGGTAAACTTGAAACGTCCAGTTTTGGGAGACTCTCCGGGGAGGGAGGGGGGCGCCCACGGTCCAGCCAGCTCCTCTCTGGGGGAAGAGAGCTGATGTTTTGTGTGGTTGTTCGTTTTGATTGCTAGATGTTACTTTTTAGGGCAGTTTCAGAAACCTTTAGAAAAACTGACCGGTTTGCATTCACACGGCGCGTTTATGACAACCGATGGACCGGCGTTGACACTTGGTGACTGAAGTCTGTGCTTTGCGTTAGGATCCCTCTCTGTGTGGGACATTCTGTGGGTTTGGACACATGTCAGAGGGCGTTATCCACCATGAGTGACACACACAGTTTCACTGCTCGAAGTCTGCTGACCTCTGTCCCTCCTCCCTCCTCCACCCCGACCCGGGCAACCACTGATCTTGCTCTGTGTCCACAGTCTCTCCTCTTTCAGATTGTCACAGTGGGGACCCCGCAGTATGCAGCCTTCAGCTGGCGTTTCTCCCTTGGTGATAAGAGTATAAGGTTCTCCGTGTCTTTTCGTGGCTGAGGGCTCATTTCTTTTTAGGCTTAGTAACGGTCCACTCAACGGTGAGAGCTTGTATTTTCAAATGTGCTTATAGTTACTCAAACTTCACTTTTTTAAAATTATTTTTATCCTCACCCGAGGACACTTTTTGCATTTATCTTCAGATAGAGCAGGAGGGAGAGGGAGGAAGAGAGAGAAAGGGGCATCGACGTGAGAGAGACACATCGAGTGGCTGCCACCCACACGACGCCAACCAGGGCCGGGGACAAACTGCAACCAAGGTACATGCCCTTAGCAGGAACTGAACCCGGGTCTCTCTGGACCACGGGCCGACGCTCTAACCGCTGAGCCAAACCGGCCAGGGCTCAAATTTCACTTTTTGATGTGTCCTAAAGACTTCCTGCAAAATAGGTACCGAATTATAACAGCACTCACCTGGGTGTTTTCATGAACACAGTTCAGCTCTTTCAGGGTCTTCGTTTCTTTATTCTTCTGTTCTGTGCAGGATCTTTTGCAAGACATGAGGATCTACTGGCCCGACGTGATCCACTCACCCAGTAACCGCAGCTCCTTCTGGTAAGTCGGAGTTCTGAGAGCCACCGCGAGCCCGAGACACGCGTGAGGGCCGCCTGGGTGTGTGCTCCGTGGAACCGCGAGGAGCAGGTGACAGGTCACAGAGCTGTCCCCGAGGCTGAGAGGTGTGAGCGGCCCTTCATCGGAGCAGCCTCATCTCTTGGGGCCTCTCTCTCTCCAGTGGAGAGAAAATAGGGCAAGTGGAATTCACTTGATACACTTGTTTTGTAATTTATTTTTTATCCTCACCAGAGGACTCTTTTTTTTTTTTTCATTTTTTGTTCAGATAGAGCAGAAGGGAGAGAGAGAGAAAGGGATACATCGACTGGCTGCCACCCACACGACCCCAACCAGGGCTGAGGACAAACTGCAACCGAGGTACGTGCCCTTAGCGGGAAACGACCCAGGTCTCTCTGGACCGCAGGCCGACGCTCTAACCGCTGAGCCAAACAGGGCGATACACTTGTTTTTAATCTGGTATTTCATTCAGTACTTTGTTTTAAAACTATTCTGCCCAGAGGTTTAAATAACTTGCATTCTTAGAAGCCGTCACTCCAGATGAGACAGGAGGGAATGGTTCTCTAACAAGCTGCACTGCTCTATTGAAATGTAGCAAGAAAACAGGAGACAGAGTTAAGAAGGTGGGGACCTCCTCGGGGGAGAGAGTGAGGTTGTCACAGGAGGCGAAGCCCGGGAGAAAATGCTGGGTTTAATGCAAGACAGCTTTTAAAGTCCCTGCTTTTGAAGAAGATAAAGTTAACATTCTTTTTATTTATGTATTTATTAATCGAAGATAATTCTTTTTCTCCATCTCATTCCCATATGTCAATAAACAATTTTTTTCTTTTTTTAAAATTGATTTTAGAGAGGAATGGAGAGGGAGAGAGAGAGATAGAGACATCAATGAGAGAGAACATTGATTGGCCACCTCCTGCACGCCCCCCCCACTGGAGATTTGGCCTACAACCCGGGCATGTGCCCTGACCAGAAATCGAACTGGCGACCTCTTGGTGCATGGGTTAATGCTCAACCACTGAGCCACACCGGCCGGGCCCATATGTCCATTTTTTTAAAATTCTCACCCAAGAACATTTTTCCATTTTTTGTTCAGATAGAGTGGGAAGGAGAGAGAGGAAGAGAGAGAGAGAGAGAGAGAGAAACATTAACATGAAAGGGACACATCGAGTGGCTGCCTCCCGCACAACCCAACCAGGGCCAGGGACAAACTGCAACCGAGGTACGTGCCCTTAGCGGGAACCAAACCTGGGTCTCTCTGGACCACAGGCCGATGCTCTCACCGCTGAGCAAAACCGGCCAGGGCCATATGTCCATTTTTTAATTTAAATGACCACTGATCAGATTTTGTCAAAAGATGAACTTAACCTGAAATATTTCTGTGTAGAATTTTCAGGAAAAGAGGTTACAGACACGCTTCTGAAAACAAAGAGGAATGACAATGGTGTCTGGTCCTGGCTCCTCGCGTTCTCTCCAAGGGTTCAGTCGGGGCTTTGGCAGGAAAGGGGTCGAGTACCCTGGGTCCGTGGGTTGAAATCTCCATTCAACACAAGGAGAAGCCTCGGGGGACCGGGAGTCATTCAGGTCTCTGGTACCAGCTCTGTTTGCACAGCCCACAATCTAGAACATGCTTTCTAACGGATTGTGGCCGTGAGGAATTGAAACAGGGAAGATAATGAAGAAACGTTTATGTAGCACTAACTGGTAACTAAGTATATACAGTGTAGCACTGACCGGTAACTAAGTATATACAGTGTAGCACTGACCGGTAACTAAGCATATGCAGTGTAGCACTGACCGGTAACTAAGTATATGCAGTGTAGCACTGACCGGTAACTAAGTATATGCAGTGTAGCACTGACCGGTAACTAAGTATATACAGTGTAGCACTGACCGGTAACTAAGTATATACAGTGTAGCACTGACCGGTAACTAAGTATATACGGTGTAACACTTCACCCTAGCCGGTGTTGCTCAGCGGTTAGAGCGTCGGCCGCGGACTGAAGAGTCTCGTGTTCGAGTCCCATCAGGGGCATGTACCTGGGTTGCAGGTTTGATCCCTGGGCCCGCCGGGTTCGTACAGAAGGCAACCAATCGATGTGTCTCTCTCACATCAATGCGTCTCCCCTCCCTCCCTTCCACTCTATCTAAAGGTCAATGGAAAAATATGTGTAATACTTCCCATGGTTACAATGTTCCATAAAGAGAACGTCAAATCTGTGCCACTTGGCTTAAAAGTAAATCAACAGAGAAAGAAGGAGTCTTGAGGCCCAGGTCCTTGAAGACGTAATCGAAATAGCTTGTGCCAAGCGAGCACTTATTTTTGTGTTTGACAAAGGCAGAGTGATTTACTCTCGCAGGTCAGATGGTTAAATCACACACTTAAAACCTGTCTGTTCTAAATGACAAAGGTAAACATCACACACTATTGCACACGTACGCTCTCCAGAGCAACTTAGTGCAAAAGGACGCGTGTGGACGCTGTGGCCACTGTCCCCCTGACTGCCACCCCTGGGTCACGGCTGCCCAGTCCCTTCGCTGTGGGAGAGTCTGGAGGTGCCCCCGGCCTCGTCCTCCGGCTTTGCTTTCAGCTCCGTCAGAAAACTGTTCTGTTTCGTTCCAAATAAGGACCCAGCATGACGAACAGGCGGCCTGGGGGCTACGGGGTGCTCGAGACCCTTCCCTAAGGTTACGTCTGTCAGTACAGTGAGAAAATGCCATGTACACATGCAAGTCAGGAGTTCTGTCTGCCTCGTCATTCTTGCCAGAAAAGACCCAGAGTCGGGCACACCCCCGTTGGCGTTGCAGGCTCGCCCTGGGAGGTGTCCCTGGGCCTCAGCGGAGAGTCCCAGGCAGTCACGGAGGGTGATTCCGCCATCTGCTCACGTGCCCTTGGAGGGGAGAGGGCCGCACAGCGGTCACTTCTGATCAGTCACTGACAGTTCTATCTCCACACTGCGGTACATTCTTAACATTGGTTGAGTTGAGCCTGCTCCCAACATAGTGACGGTCGCCACTGAACGTTTACGTTGAGCTGGGAACTGTCTTTGCCAGCCCGGCACCCCTGTGGCGCCCCGTGGAACGGCTTCTGGGAGTATTGGCCCTGCCTTACAGAAGCCAAGGCGCCGACAGTTCAGGTGCATTTGCAGTTGGGTGGAAAGAATTTTCAGTTGGGCACAGAGGAGAAAAGGCTGCCAGGTAGTTTACTCTGGAGCCTGGTTTAGAAGGACGTTACGACTCCCCGGTTTCTGTACCCCGCAGTGTGCAGGGAGTTGAAACTCTCGGGTGGGTTTCAGGGTGAGCCGGTGCATCCGGCCGGGCTTCTGAGGTGCGGCATGCGTGTGCTTGTCACACCTGCGGGAATGTCACCCATGAAACCCCGCGGGCTAATTGCCCATAAAGCTGAGGGGACCTGGTGCCCATTGCTTTTCATGCTGACAGTGGGGGCGCCTGCACCGACCAGCTGTCCGGCACTGAAGGTGGGCAGCGGTTATCTGCGGCGGGCTGGGGATTGGGTGCTGTGCAGCGGAGGGCCGGGCTTCTGGCTGGGTGGCCTGCAGTGAGGCGCCCCGCTGGCCTCTCCGAACCTCAGTTTCCCCGCTGAGCTGGCCATGTCAGTTCCGCCGCGCAGAAGTGTGGGAATGGAGACTGAGGAGGTTCTGTCGGGTGTTGATCTGCAGCAGACGCCAAGGAGGTGTCGCCAGTGCAGTATTTTACCGAATACAGACCGCTGAGTCTGCAGAGGGGTGAGGCTGTGATCACACAGACAGGAGCTGTGACCAGGAGGCGGGCTGAGCCGGGGCATTTCGAGGGGTGACCCTGCCTTTCCTTGGCTGGTGACTGCTCTGGGACCGGGGTGCAGACCCAGCTGGGGCAGGGAGCCCAGCGCCTGTGTGGTTGTGGCCGTGCAGCGTGGCCGTCCTCCGGCTCAGCCCGCTGTCCCCTGGGTCGTGTTCTAGGTGTGGGGGGCGTCGGGCAAGGCACTGCCTCGCTGTAACGAGCAGGGTTATGCTGCTCACTGGGTACGAGGAGCACCCACCCCGGGCTCGTGAACACCCCTGCGGGGAGAGAACCCGTGTGGCCCTGGGGTGTGACCTGCTCCGCGACCTTCTAACGGGACGTCCTGTGGACCTGGCAGGAAGCACGAGTGGGAGAAGCACGGGACGTGCGTCGCTCAGCTGGACGCCCTCGACTCCCAGAGGAAGTACTTCGGCAAGGGTCTGGACCTGTACAGGGGGCTCGCCCTGAACAGGTAGGGCCTCGGCCTGGCCGCCCTCCGGGCAACCGCCCTGTGCGGGAGCCTCACCTCGGCCCTGGCTCAGGGGCCACGTCCCCGTCCCTGCGATGGCCCAGAGCCCCTCTGCCCGGGCGGCTGCCCCTCCTCCGGCGTGTGGTGAACGGCTAGTGCGTCGTTCTGCGTGATGCTCGTGCCTCCTGCCACCTTCCCATGTCACCGTGGGGCACAGCCACCCAACGTGGGCACAGGGACGTGGGTGCCTCTCCGGGCGTGGACATCGTCGGCCTCGTCCAGTCGTGATTCCCGACCAAAGCTTAGAGTTGATAAGAGTCCTTTGAAGGCAGCATCAGTGACCTTGGGCGTGTCGCTGTGATGCTCCTGGAAGGAGAGGGGAGGGGATGGGCAGGTCCTGGGAGCCCCAGAAAGTGCCCGACCCTTGGGATCCTGCCCGCCCAGGAGCCGCCCTCGGAAGCCACCCCAGAGCCGTCACCGGCTCTCCTATTAACAGGGCTGTTGCTCAGAGTATCCGGGTTTTTAAAAAGCACTTACCTGGAAGAGCATCTTAATTTTTCCTGTGAAATGTGATGTTTGAAAAGCACGAGAAAGGAAAATGGGCCTTCATTATACATCTCACTTTTTTTCTTTCTTTTTCACTTTAAATGTTAGCATGCTCCAAAAATTGGGGATACTACCGTCTGGCAACTACTACCAGGTAAGTCTCGTTTTGAGCTTCTTGTCGGAGGCGTCTCCGCCAGCCGGCGCCCCCTGGCAGGTTCGGGTGTCAGCCAGCGAGCTGCCCCTGAGCTGCAGGGGACCCAGACCACCCCCGCTGCTTCGTGGCTGTTTGTCGGGGGTCTGCCCCGTTCCGGTTCCCTGTGCGCTTGGGCGTGACAGCGGCTGCGTGAACGGCTGCGCCCGGACAGGGCAGGCGGGCTGAGCCGTTTGGGGAGCACTCCGTTTTCTAACATTTTGTTTGAGGAAGAGACAACATTTGCTTTTGTTTTCATGGCGCAACCACAGTTCTTGTTCTCATGATGAAACTGGAGCCGTGTGAGCATGACCAGGTCTTGTTGGCCGGGAGGCCCGCACTAGGCAACTGCTTGGAGCGCAGAGAGCCCCTTTGGGGGCAGAGCCGCCTTGGCTCATGGCCGCGCCGCCCCCCGTCCCTGCGGCACCTCTGCGTCGCCGTCCTGCAGAGACGGTCACCGTGGCGCCTGCCGAGTTCACTCCCTGGCCCGTGCTGTCTCCGTTTGCTGACTCACTTTAGAGAAGCGTGTCACCTTCGTGGGCTAGTTTTCGGTCACAGGTGTGCGTGGAAAGGCTTCCAGTCACCCGCAGTCCTGTGGCTCCGGCCGTGGCTGCACAGTGGGGCGTCCCCGGCACTGCCGTCCTGCGCCGTGGCGTCTGCGCCGGGTGTGTGGCCGGTCCAGTGGGAGGGTGAGGAGGGGAGGGACAGTGACCTTGGGGACTGTCTCGCTGCCCCTTCTAGGGAGCCCTGAGATAGTGTGTTTGCAGGGTTCCCCTGGATTCCTGTTCAAGTGCACAGGGGACGTGCGCGTCCTGGCCCCGGACTGATCCCAGAGATACAAAGAGCAGCAATGACAGCGGACGTTTTTGGAGCCCCCCTGCCCCCCACCCCCTTGCTGCTTCGTTAGGTGTCGTCAGGACCAGCATATCTGGGACCTGGATGGGGCAGGTCTCAGCCTGTGAGCCAGTTTGAGTTACCATGAGGGCATTTTCTGCTTCTGCACCCCCCCCCCCAGTCTCTGGGTGCAGACTGGGGAGTGGGGCAGAGAGAACCAGTGTGTGATTGTGGCCTGGTGGGTGGGGGCCACGTCCTGTCCATGGGTGGGGCCAGGACTGGTTCTCCACATCCCCTGCCCTGTCTGCTGGCCGGGGCTGGTTCTCCGCATCCCCTGCGCTGTCTGCCGGCCAGGGCAGGTCCCAGCGGGGACGCCATCGCCAGCTGTTTGTGAGGGTGGGAACCAGTGTCACAGCTGAATAGACAGCGGCTAGACTTTTTGGTGGGAGTTCATGTCTCATGCACTTTGTTGCATTTCAGGTGTCCGACATCAAAGACGCCCTTGCCAGCTTGTACGGAGTCGTGCCCAAAGTCCAGTGTCTGCCGCCGGAGCAGGTCAGGGTGCTGTTTAGTTGATCTTCCTGTCTGTGTCGAGAAGACAGGTTCCATTTTGCTGGCAGATTTGTGCTCACCTTGGAGTTCCCAGGGCAGAGCTGCTTATGTATGGGGGCTGCACACAGGTGTGTGCGTGCACGTGTGGTACAGAAAGACAGGTGCTGTGTGCGTGCATGCACATGTAGTATAAGGGTGTGCTGTGTATGTGGGGCGTGTGCATGCACGTGTAGTACCAAAAGACAAGTACTGTGCACGTGCATGCACATGTAGTACAAGGGTGTGCTGTGTGTGGGGGGCATGTGCATGCATGTGTAGTACCAAACGACAAGTACTGTGCACGTGCATGCACATGTAGTACAGGTATGTGCTGTATACGTGTGTGTATACACGTGTGCTGTGTGCATGCATGGGTATGTGCGTGCATGCATGCTGTGTGTGCATGTGTGGTACAGATATGTGCTATGTGCAGGTGCGTATGTACGTGCATGCATGCATGGGTGTGTGTGTGTGCACATGTGGTACAGACGGGTGCTGTGTGTGTGTGTGTGTGTGTGTGTTGAAATAACCCTGTTCTTTGGCTCTATGCCAGGACAGGACTTTTCTCACACCTCACCCCACCCAGAATGCCCCTGTACTAGCAGGGCCGGGGTCGGGGTGTTGCTGTAGTTGAACAGTCCTCAGTTGGCAGTGTTTGCACTGAGTCTTGGTGATGCTGGCAGTCGCTGGTTGTCCAGTTTGCAGACAAGCCGTCTACCTTGTCCGAGGGAGACGAGTTTGTCAGGACCGGGGCTGCTTCTGCTTTATCCCCAGCCAGTGGCACGGGCCACATGCTGTCTGCACCTCTGTCGTTGTGTGAATGTCTAAAGAAGCAGCATCTGGGTGGCGACCCGGAGTCACAATGGCACTTGGGACCCCTGGCCCAGGTCAGAGCTGGAGGAAGGAGCTTGGATCCCAGGCTGGACGCTGCCTCTTGTTCAAGTTCTAAGTCTTGGCGAGCCTAGAACCGTAACAATGACCCGGGTCCGGATTCTAACGCGTCTCTGTCCCTTGTGTGCAGGGCGAGGGGGTGCAGACCCTCGGCCAGATCGAGCTGTGCCTCACAAAGGACCTGCAGCTGAGGAACTGCACGGAGCCCGGGGAGCCGGCGGGCAGCTGGCGGGGCGCGGGGCCGGCCCGGCCGACCAGGAGCCTGGAGGTGTGCGAGGACGGCCCCGTCTTCTACCCCCCGCCCCGCTAGCCCTGTCGCGGACGCCTGCGCTCGGCAGTGCGCTGTCTGGAGCAGTGAGAGGACGTCACAGGCAGTCCTTTCCACAGTGACATCTCGTGTGCTGTTGGCCGCCTTGTTTTGCTTTCCCTTCCAGAATGTGAGTGGATTTTGCAGTACATGGAATAAAGCTACGTGTCGTCTCTTTGCTCCTGTGCTAGTCTCTTTGGCATCTTTGGAAGACAAGGGCCAGGTACTTGGCATCTGGGCGGGTGGCTGGGACTCAGCTCGCTGCTGTCCCTGAGAGGGAGCTGCCTTCTGGGCACGGGCTCATCCAGGGACCTGTGGTCAAGCCGGGAGCGCCTCCCGCCAGCATCTGCCTCCACGGCCCGGCGTGGGCACAGGCTGTCGTCTGGGCCCTGGTACTGGCAGGTGCTCTGAGGTTGGCTGCAGTTTTCTCTCTCTTCCTCCCAGAGAACTGCGTGTGCTCGCAGACCTGCGTGTGCTCACAGACCTGCATGTATTCATAGACCGTGTGCTTGCAGACCTGCGTGTGCTCACAGACCTGCGTGTTCACAGACCTGCGTGTGCTCACAGACCTGCGTGTGCTCACAGACCTGCGTGTATTCACAGACCATGTGCTCACAGACCTGCGTGTGCTCACAGACCTGTGTGTGCTCACAGACCTGCGTGTATTCACAGACCATGTGCTCACAGACCTGCGTGTGCTTGCAGACCTGTGTGTGCTCGCAGACCTGCGTGTGCTCACAGACCTGCGTGTGCTCACAGACCTGTGTGTGCTCACAGACCGTGTGCTCGCAGACCTGCATGTGCTCACAGACCGTGTGCTCGCAGACCTGCGTGTATTCACAGACCATGTGCTCACAGACCTGCGTGTGCTCACAGACCTGTGTGTGCTCACAGACCTGTGTGTGCTCACAGACCGTGTGCTCGCAGACCTGCATGTGCTCACAGACCGTGTGCTCGCAGACCTGCGTGTATTCACAGACCATGTGCTCACAGACCTGCGTGTGCTCACAGACCTGCATGTATTCACAGACCATGTGCTCACAGACCTGCGTGTGCTTGCAGACCTGTGTGTGCTCGCAGACCTGCGTGTGCTCACAGACCTGCGTGTGCTCACAGACCTGTGTGTGCTCACAGACCGTGTGCTCGCAGGCCTGCGTGTATTCACAGACCGTGTGCTCGCAGACCTGCATGTGCTCACAGACCGTGTGCTCGCAGACCTGCATGTGCTCACAGACCGTGTGCTCACAGACCGTGTGCTCGCAGACTTGCGTGTGCTCACAGACCGTGTGCTTGCAGACCTGCGTGTGCTCACAGACCTGCGTGTGCTCACAGAACGCCAGGCGGCTTCCTTCCCGGCACAGGTGCTGCAGACCGTAAACCCACGTTTATACAGGTTTCCCCTCCTTTCTACCAGAAGGCAGCCTGGGCCACCGCTAAGTCAGTCCTTAGACACACTGGGATCGAATGTGGCCCCGACTTCGGGTGCCCTTCCTTTGATGCGTGGATAATGGCTTTTCTTGCCGAGGATGGGAGAGCCCAGGCCCAGGTGGACTGCTGCGCCCGTCCTGGGCTGTGGAGGGACAGCGTTTGTACGACGAGGACACCTAGTGGTCTGTGACATGCATTTCCCGCGCTTTGTTAAAACGGCCTTCAAACGTGGTTTCTCCCTGGCCTCTGCCCTTTTTTTAAATGTTTTCAGTTATGTGGGTAAAATGTGACCCATCTATTAGTCTAAATTATATTGATGCCTACTTTATTTAAAAACACTTAAAGTAGAACTTACTATTTGCCAGGCATTGTCCTGAGCACTTTAAATTTTAATTTATTTAGTCCTTAGAACAACCGGTTTTTCAAAATAACCCTATCTTTAAAAAAACAAACCCAAAACACCTGCCCCTGGCCGGTTTGGCTCAGCGGTGAGCACGTCGGCCTGTGGACCAGAGGGTTGTGGGTTTGACTCCCAGTCAAGGGCATGTATGTGGGTTGCAGGTTCCATCCCTGGCCTTGGTGTGGCTCATTCGGGAGGCAACCAATCACTGTCGCTCTCACATCATGTTTCTCTCTCTCCCCCTCCCTTCTACTCTCTGAAAATCAGTGGAAACATATCCTCAGGTAAAGATGAACAAGAACAAATAAATAACACCTGTTACTATGGTCCCCCTTATCCATAGGGAATACTTTCCCAGACCCCCAGGGGATGCCTGAAACTGGGCAGCACCAATATCTATATACAGGGGGGAAAATAGGTCGACAGTTGTGACTCTGTGAGACGGTTTATTCCATTCTTGTTAGTCATCGTATTATTTTACATACGAACAACTGTAAACCTACTTTTGCCCCTTCCTGTATACTGTTTTTCCTATCCATTCATCCCCTGTGACAAAGCCTAATAAACTAGACACACTGAGAGAATACAATCCAGCAGGTGTAACAATGCACTAATACAAGTGATGTGGGTGGTCTCTCAACACCTGACCGCCCTGCGCAGTGGGCGTGGCCCCGTCCTGGGGAAGCCATGGCTGAGATTTCGACACGCGGGGCAGCAGTGCCCTGCACGGCTGCTTAGACGTGGTGGGTGCTTAGTAGACCTCTGACCAGAATCCAGGAGAGTAATGGCCCAAAGGTGACCACGCTCATCAAAATAGATGAAAGGGGGCCCATCGCCGCCATGTTCCCGGTCCTCAGGTGCGTGGTGCCCCGTCAGTCACACCGGGATGTCACCGGAATGGTTTCCGAGGGTTTCAGAGCAGGATCGAAATGGCCACAGCAGGAGAGAGTGAGGGAACCAGCCAAGGTGCTGGAAGTCTGCAGGTGGGCTGCTCATTCAAGTTGGTGGACCTAATTTAAGGTTGCTTCAGGAAGGGTCTGATCTATGATGGGGGTACAGCGAGGTGCCCCTTGTGGATGGGAGACATCTGAGACGTCAGGTGTAGAATATTACTGGACAGGCACCAGTGAGAGGGTTACTAGAATTAGGAGACTTGCCCTTTGAGTGCGTGATTTAATGACCCACAATCACATTTATAGATATCTCTTCATATTTCTAATATATGTCACCAAAGTAATGTGAACATATACTCATGGAAACATGACAGATGTACATGCTCATCACTTGGGACCCTTACAGTTATAAATAACAAAGAATGAAAGCTAGCTTTCAAGATGAAGGGTATTAATTGGCTCGAGTAAGAGAACCTCTGCCTTCAGGTGCGGTTTGATCAGGGCTCCAGCTCAATTCCTGTGGAGCTGCTGGGCCCCGCCCTCCCCCACATGGCAGCTCTTCCCTCGGCCTTGCTTCTACGTGGAACCAAAAGGCAGCGGCTGGGCCAGGTCTCCCATCCATCAGGAGAAGCTCCAAGTCAGTCCCTCTGTAAAGCAAACCAACTCCCCAAATCAGGGCTCCCAAACTCCTTCTTCTCGCTCATGTCTTCTATGTAGGACTTAGAAGGACAAGTGGTCCCCTTCCTACAGGCGCCATTCAGAGCTGGAGGAGTCTAGTGAAATGACCACATTTTTATGCTCAGTTAAGTACGTAATAGCTGCCTGAAGTCATTGCCTGGTTGTACACGTATGTTCTTGTTTAATTCTCACAGCAGCTCTGCAGGGTATCATCCTTGCCGTTTTACCTAGAAACAGGACTGGATCATTAACCAGCTTGCTCAGGGACCGCGATGCCGACGGGCATCCGAACAGCACCAGCTGAGCCCACTTCCTGTCAAAGCCACTCGATGCCCACATGGTTTTTGAAAAGAGCGAAGGCGGCCGAAGGAGCAGCCGCGGCTTCCTGGGCGGGCGCTGCCTCCCACCTGAGCCCTGTTCTGTGCAAACAGCTGGTGCCCGGGGCGCTCAGCTGACGACGTCATCACACATCCTGCCCGAGGCCAGCGTCCTCCAACTTTAACTTTGAGGCTGAGCCTTTTTATCCCCCTCTCCTGTGGGCCGCGGTTCCTGCGCAGAGTGGGAGCAGTTGGGAGACCACCCCGGGCAGGTGGCTCTTTAAACCGAAGCTCTGCTCAGAGCACAGAGCTGGAAGGGCACAGCGGAGCGCTGGGCACAGCGGGGGCTCCTGCGGACGCCGCCCAGTCCCCTCGGGGCAGGGAGTGCCGTGCGGCGAAGGGCGATGGAGGACACGCCGAGACCCGGCCGGTGCCAGGCGGGCAGCAGCTGCCCTCGGGACCCCGTGGCCGGGAACGAGTCCATTACTGAGCGGCTGTTTACATCAGACCGGCCGGGTCTGTGATGATGCTTTTTCCCCGTCGCTCTTCCTGAGCCCGGGAAGAGGGTGACTCAGGCCTCGTGATGTCCGCTCGGTGCGTGTCACATGCTGCCAGCCTGCCGTCACCATGTCCAGGGAGCGAGAACTGAAGGGCTCCCTGCCACCTGCGTTGTGGGGACGACAGCCCGGAAGACACTTTTTAATTTTGTATTATTTATTTATTTTTCTTATTCCTCACCGGAGGACGTTTTCCCACTTTTGTTCAGTTAGAGCGGGAGGGAGAGAGAGGCAGAGAGGGGGAGAGAGAAACATCGACGTGAAAGGGACACATCGAGGGGCTGCCTCTCGCAGGACCCCAACCAGGGCCGAGGGACAAACTGCAGCCCAGGTAGGTGCCCTTGACTGGAATCGAACCCTCGATTCATTCGTCCGCAGGCCGACGCTCTAACCGCGGAGCGAAACCGGCCAGGGCTGAAGACACTTCCCAGAAGCAAAGTAGTTTCCTGATGTTCCTGTAACCCTGTGCCGTTTAGCCGCCACCCTGCGCCCTGGCCACACCCCACTCTTCTAGCCCTAGGAAGCCGCTCCCGGACCCTCGGTCTGTGTGCAGTGGTCTGTTCTGCACAGTCCGTGTCAATGGAATCACACACGAGTGGCCCTTGGTGACTGCGTCATCGCTCGGCACAGTGCTGTCGAGATACATCCGTGTTGCCGCATGCGTCACCCGCACGTCCCTGCTCACTGCTGGACGTCATTGCATTGTGTGGAGTGGCCACATCACAAAAAATAACTTACCTTCATTGTTGAAAGTGTTACAGATGCCCCCTTTCCCCACTGACCCCCTCCTCCCCACCCCACCCCCTCCTCGTTGGTTATGCATATGTGCAGATACCTTCTTTGGTTCCTCTCTGCCCCCGCCCCACCCCTGACCTTTGAGGTTTGTCCCTCTGACAACCAATTTGGATGTCTCAGTCCCTTCACCTTT